ACTAGTGAGTCCACTTGCACCTACAATTTCGTTATCGAGCTCTGCGACATGACTCGAAATCGTGCACTGGGCCTTTAAATGGGTTACGGGGCTGTTGTCAACCAGACGTGCTCTCGCTGCGAGGGTCCAGGGGTATTTTCACGAGGCATCTACCAGTCCAGTAGTTGAAGGGAGAAGGTAAAGGAGGAGGGATCAGAGAAGGAAGGAAGGAAAAGAAGGAAGGAGGAAGAAAAAGGAAAGAGGGAGAGGCTTCCCGGTTGACAAGTGCCACTGAGACCATATCACGTGACCAGGGAGCATTAATTGACACTGGAGCACGGTTTCTTGTTCAGTGGAACACGACACGTTTTAGCGTCAACAGCAACACTCAGGCATATGAGCAGAGTATTTCCTTTTCTACTCCCTTTTCTAAACAGCTGTGCAATTTCCACTCACGGTTGAATCAGTTGGGGGCGGTGTCAGGAGCCATAGAATGAGCGCATCCTCCACCACTCGTCTTTTCTCCCTGAATCGATCGCTAGACGATCACTATTGCTAGGAAATGCTGTCGAGGCGGCCTCTCTGCACTCCTCCCAACACTGCCCCGACTGATTGCGTTGACATTAACTATTCATATCCTCAAACATGCATTTGTATTTCTGGAAATTGGACGTCTTTGAATTAATTTCAGCCACCGAAGGCGTGCAGGCTACTCATACTAGTTCCGCTCTATCGGGCTTTTCTGGGTGTACTGTACTAAGGAATTTGGTGATGATTTACGCCTATTATATGACATCGAAAATTGAGAAATCAATAAATATGATACTCTGTGTGAGCTTTACAATCATCATCATTATAATAATAACAACATACATGTGAAAATTCAATAGAATTCTTTAACCACGTAGTGGTGTCAGTCGATCGGTGGAAGTGTAACAACGGCGGTGACGCTCGGTCATGAGATCTGACATGAGCTGTGTCAGGCAAGGATATGAAGGGCTATATATGGATTACTGTAGTTTCGTGAGGGGAGCATTTTTGGCATCCGCGAGACGGACGATTCTATCGTCAGGCCACGCTACTCACGTCGCGCGCGGCGAATCGCGCGGAAAATGGCGCGACGATACCAGGGTCGCATTGCCGTATCTATGAGTTGCCGTTGGAGAAAGAGATTTGCTTCAGTTCGCGGAGTTCTCCACCAGCATTTAGCAATTTGAACAAGCCATGAGACCAAAGAACCCCTTACGCAGCGGCTGCGGCAATGCCAGACACGCCCACCAGCGCGGCGACCTAGGAGCCCCCCCCCTTATACCCGTTATCCCCCTTCCAAAGTCAGGTCCAACAAGAAATCCGCTTTTTAATGGATTGCACAGAAGTAACCCAAGAATGCGTGAATTACGAATCTCACGCAGCCTGCCCATATGTTAGCCCGCATTCATACTTCGCGACTCTAGCGCGATTTCGAATCGCGCGACCCAGTCGCAAAGTATGAACTCAGTCAGTCATTAAAGCTTATGGTTGTTAGCAGAGAAACTGAACACGGGGTTGGTTTTTTTTTTTTTGGTCCACCTTTTTTTTCGGGCGGATGCTGGGGCATGGGGTTGGGTTTGGCGTGGCGCCAGCCTTTTCCCACCAATTGTTGAGGTGTAGAAGCGATGATAATTAGTGGAAAGCGGGCTGGCGCCACGTTCGAGCTATCACCCACCCCAGTATCCGAAGCAAACAAGACTCTAGACAAAAGGGTAAGACCGCCTTTATACAGCTCATATCCCGTAGGTAGGGTGGGCGTGGTTACATGTTTCCTTCGAAGGGGCCGCGCCCATTCTATCTCTGGGATATGGAGTACAGAGAGTAAATAATCATAGCTACTGCCAATGTCCTGCTTCACCAACGCCACCAGCTACAAATTTCCCAGTCGCATCCCGACATAGCGGTGTGATCCCGGGAAAAAGCTCAGAAGCTCAGATGCCCACTGCAAAGATGTGGGAAATATTACACCCATGTGAGATTCCCAGACCGCTGTCACTGATCCATGTTGTACTTCCATTTCGCAGTTGTCATCACTCTAACACGGAAATGACTAGGTAGTGATCGAGTGTGATGAGAAAGATAATCAGATGAGTGTATGGTGAGGAAGACAAGTGGAGCGAGTGAAGCATGAGTGACTGGGCGGGATATGTCGGCTCTCCGGGCAGGTATGATTGGATAATTGGAACGCCACCCAATAATATTAACGCCGGTCATCTGGAGAATGAATAAATGATAAGAAGAATTACTATACGGTAGGGAGGAAACATCGATGGTCACTATGGGGTGGGGGGACGTGGATCGATCAGATGGCAAACAAAGGAAAAAGGTGACATGGTACTGACGAGAGCGTTTGTGAACAGAGTTCAGTTACTATTTAACCACAATAAAACAACTCGGACCTAAATTGCAAAATATCCCGCGATGAATGTATAATGTATAGCTAGGCAAATCTATGTGTACGCGAAAGACGGACAGATTGACCAAGACTGAAAGTGAATACGGTATGAGGGCTACGAGGCGAGTACAGTACTCCACAAGACCCCTGAGACTGCTATTGTTCGATGTCGGCCATCTGGTCATCCGGCTGTATCTGCTTGCAGTACTGGAACAATATTTTCTGGTAGTACTCGCGTGGTGTGAGCGTACGAGCCGTTGAGCACCTGAAATCCATGCAACAGATTTTTGACATCTTTTTAGCAGCTGATCATAGCCCGGCACAGTTCGGCTTCGGAGGGGACACGGAATGACAGGCTACTTTGGCAAGCTTGTAAATTCCTGTGACTCATTCGCACCATTTTGCAACATCACAAGAGTTCACGGTCCCACCAAGGAGAGACCCGTTATTTTGCATGAAATAAAGAAAAACTAGTTTCAACAAAAGTGCAACAATGGTCCCTTCCCTCCCAAACCGAACAGCGCCTATGGCCTTCTGCGCTTTCTCCATCAGGTCGTGGTAATTGCAGTGTCGGCTGGGAAGCTCACGTTGCGGCAAAGCGCAGAACAAGCTAGAACTCCCTACCCAATAGATTTGATGTACTGTAACACTTCCTAGTAAATCCGTAAGACACTGGTGCGGATCGCTTAGCGCCAATGCACGCTGCCTTAAATCACGGTGCCGCGAAGCGGACCTGTCTGACGCCGTCTATCTGGCCCTCGCCCTCTTTTTCCTTCCCCCCCCCCCCCACCCCCGCCCCTTCCAAAGTTTTCTCCAACAGCAGTACCCGAACTCTGAGCCGAACTAGAATAAAAAAGAATAACAGTTTGCACTTCTGATATATTGCGAATAAACTGACTTTGCAGACTCTTGTTCCAATCACTTCTTCTTCATTCTCCTACGCGGGGTCCGGTCAGTCACCGCGCGCGTCGTAGGTCCTCGGCTGATATCTATTAGACGTCGCCACTTGTTCCGATCCACTGCATCTTCTGCTGTGGCTTTCACTTCAGTGAGGTCCCTCTTGATGACGTCCCTCCATCTTTTCTTTGGGGCTCCTCGTGGTCGCTTGCCCTCTACCTCGAGTTCCAATGCCTTCCTTATTGGGTGGTCTTCGGGCCTCCTCAGTACATGACCGTACCATCGCAGTCGCTGCTCTCGTGCCTTCAGCTGGATAGGAGCCGTCTGTGTGACTGCTCTGACGTCCTCGTTTCTGACTCTGTCGAGTCGTGTCCAGCCGCAGGCCTCTTCAGCATCCTCATTTCAGCTGAGTGGAGCTGCCTTTCATGGTTCTTGCAGATGGGCCAGCATTCGCTGCTGTAGAGCATTGTAGGCCTTACCACTGCTCCCGGTACACTTTAGCCCTTGAGCATTCTCAGAGCACGCGCCGGTCGCACACAGTGATACAGTGTGGGACTCCCTCCATTTCCATCCAGGGCTGCGTTGATTCGGCGCCCCCCCCCCTCACCGCTTGGTGCACGGCTCCATCAGCTCTAGGTTGTCCCACTACTGGAAATCTGCGGACCTTTCGATGCTCTCTCGCCATGGCGATCTACGATGACTTCGGCGCACTCTTCGGAGCTTAGGAACTTGGTCTTCTTTACGTTCAGCCGGAGTCCATTCGCAGCGAGCACATCCTGCCACCGCTGCACCTTGTCCTGAAGTTCCTCCCTGCTGTCCGCTATCAGGGCGATGTCGTCAGCATAGAGGATGGTTTTCAGTTTGGTCCCTCCATGTTCTTCATTCTTTTGCCATGACATCTAGAGTCAGGAGGAAGAGGAACGGGCTGAGGGCTGACCCTTGGTGTACCCCAACCGTAATGTTTACCTCCTTTGTCAAGCCGTGAGGGGTGCGTACAGCTGCTTTAGCCCCATCGTACATGTCCTTCACTATGGAGATGAGGTGTTCCGGAACGTTACGTTCTCTGAGCGCTCTCCAGAGTACAGGCCTTGGCAGGCGGTCGAATGCCTTCTCAAGGTCCAGGAAGGCTAGGTAGCAGGGTCGCCGCTTCTCTCGGTACTTCTCCATCAGCTGTCTGGCGATGAAGATGGCATCGGTGGTGGACCTCTCGGGCATGAAGCCGAACTGTTCCTGCGAGATCGGGACAAGTTCCCTTAGCCTTGTGTTGACCAGGCGCTCGTACAGCTTCATGGTATGGGGAGTCAACTTGATGCCGCGGTAGTTGGAAGCCCACTCCGTTCGGCGTTCCCCTCTCTTGTTTGAAGCATGAGGAACATGTGTGCTGTCCTCCACGCATTCGCATCCTTCTTCAGCTGTACGTTGTTTCAGGAAGGTACGTGAGCCAACTCACCCAGCTCCGAGGGCCTTCCATGCCTCTATCGGTACCCCGTCTGGACCCACTGCTTTCCCAGCTTTCATTCTCCCTAGCTCCCGGCGAACTTCATCCTTCGTCCAGGGAGTGATGGGACCTGCCGTCGCCTCTATCTGTGGGCTATCCTTGCGAGGGGATTCTTCGTTCAGAAGTCCCTCGAAGTATTCTTCCCACCTCTTCCTGACTTCGGCTGGTTTCCTGAGAATGGCCCCGTTGCTGCTCTTCACAGTCTTTACGACCCTGATGTCCTGAGCTGCGCGATGCCGAGCTTTTAGCCGGAGCGAAGACGAACTTGTCCCCTTCTCGGCCTTCCAGCTTGTCGTACAGGGCGTCCATTTCCGTATTCTTGGCCTTAGCAACGGCCGCCTTAGCGAGTCGCTTGCAGCTCTTGTAGGCAGCGTAGTCTTCTGGGCTCCGTGTCTTTTGCCAGCATTTGTATGCTTCCTTCTTCTGCTTGACGATCCTCTGGACTTCCTCGTTCCAGAACCAGGCTGCCTTGTCTCCTCTGATACCACCTCGCGTCTCTCCCAGGACCTCCCTTGCACACTGTAGGATGACCTCTGCTGCGTAGGTCCAGGTGTCCTGGACTGGCCCATGTGGGTCTGGGAGCCCAGCCTCCAGTATTCTTCGGCCGAGGCTATCCTTTTTCTACCCTTGCCCATTTCTCCACCAACCGAAATGTCCTTCGCTCTGCTCTCACCCTTAGTCTTCATTCGCGGCAGGTCTTATGGCGATGTCTGCCAGGAGAGGCCTGTGCTGAGGGCCCAGCTCTTCCCCGGGCAGTACCTTGATATCCTTGATCGGTTTTGAGAGACGATCTTCTGACCAGGACATGGTCGATTTCCGTTTGTCTTCACCTCCATGCTGTACGTTATCTTGATGGGTCCTCCCTTTTCGCGCAAACGGAAAGGCCTGTGCAGAATTGCGAAGTCGTCGGTGTCTTGTTGTGTCTGTCTATGCTAGAAGTTATAGCGCATTTCGTCCTCCCTCAGCGTTCTTTGTCCCTATTCCTTGACCTCCGTGCACCCTTTCTAGACCCCTTCTGTCCCTCCCAACATGGCCATTCAGATCTCCAGCTATGGTGAGATAGTCCTCTTCCGGAACCGATCTTATGGCCTCGTCCAGGGTCAGGTAAAACTCATCCTTCTTTCGGCCTTCAACAGCAACGGATTTGTGCGCGCTACGACGGTCGAGTACTGTCAAGTAACCCCTCCTTCGTGTCCTTCTCACTTCCCATATCCGGCTCACTGCATCCTGTTCACAGTGAGACACGAGATCCTGAGAGATTCTCACCCGCTTATTTCATATCGCCATTTCGTTGGTGTCTGCTCCATTGTAGAAGGGTTTGACACCTTCTCCAATCTCGCGGGCCTTCGCACCCTTCCATCGCGTTTCCTGCAGGCATAGGACTTGGAGTTCTGCGCTCTCATGAGGTCGGCAACCAGAGACTTCCCGGTAAGCGACCCCACGTTCAGGGTCCCAATTCGAACTAGCTTCTTTGGCCGAGGTCGTTCACCCCTCGGTAGCCCTCGCATACTGACCACAACTCGGGCGAGGGGTTCCTGTGCCCACTTGCCGGGTGACGCTCCTACTTTATACACTGATTTATTGCGAGCTTTTCATAGGTTGCTTGTTACGGGGTTCCTCATCAGCCGGCCTGTCAACCTGGGCCTGACGCTGGTATCGTCCCCATTTTTGCAATTTTTGCAAGGCAGGTTTGTGCCTCGGCAGGGATCGAACTCGTGGCTCAGAGTGAGATTATGAGTCTACACTCTTAACCACTCGGCTATCCCTGCCTGTTAACTTCCTGTCTGTTCAATCACTGACAATTAGAAATCTCGGGAATCTGGACCAGGGCACGCCGTACGTTGGAATCTCCTGCGAGGGCGGCTGTATATGACGCTAAAGGGGGGCGGTAGTATTCGCCTTTGAAAATTCTATTTCGGTTCTTGACGCTTTCAATAATAAAAAACAAATTGCAAATATAAAATAAAAGATAAATGAAATAAATACTCAGTCCGACCGGAAAACATAGAACTCTCCTGAAAAACGCAAGAACTGATTTTATGCAAGAAACTCCCAGAATGAAGGAGTGAGAAATTGTGAGAAATAGAGATAGATAGGGCTGAACGGGCAAAAAAGTCATACCAAGAAGAGATGATATTTCTGATGAAATTCAGCTCGAACGGCAGAAAGTCCCCAAATCTGGATTCTTTAGTAACTACAAAGAAGAAGAATTATCATTACTTACCTGCTGGTATTGAGATCAAGGCTTTCCATGCTGGCAAGAACGCGATCCGAGGCAAACGACAAGGTTCGTGGGTGTTCAATCCACTTGAAGTAGTAGATATCTGGAGGCACATATGGTCGACCGCCAATCCAATTTAGATCAGGTTGACGGCCATTGATCAGGCAATCAAGCAGATATTCCTGCAAAGAACCATCTGAGTTCATCAATTTTCAAATTTTTCCTTTCCACGGCCTGGACGCATTGCCCTCGATGATTTTTCATCACGGATAGTGTATTAGGGATTTGCATATAAACTACAAAAAAAACTGAGTAATTCGATAGTGAAGAAAAAAGCGAAAAAAACATGCCAACTGCCCTATGTAGAATCGTACGTTCCCTATTAACACCATGTCCTGTTCTCCCCCCGCCCCCGACCTTCCCCCGGCCCTCCTCCATCCGCACAGCTGATTCCCTTGTGACAACTTTACGACTGTACAATTACGATTTTTTAAATTACGATCCTCACGATTTTCATGCTTTTTCGTCCTGCAGGTTCGTTTTTCACTAAAGGGGGCCTTGAGGGCGGAGTCTGGAGGCGGAGTCACTGGAAAAAAGGAGGCGTCACTGAACCTATTTGCGCTATAGCGCCCCTCCCTTACATTTTTGCCGCGAAACCGGCACAAAGTTGCTTGTCGTGGACCGCCCTACCCTCGCAACGCTATATTTTCAGCTTTTGTACCTGATCGCGGACCGTTCCCTCAATCCAGGATGGGTATAGGGACTACCCGTATTGGAGAAATTCGAATTAACTATAAAGAATCTGAAGGATCGATAGCAAAATTAGGTGATTTTTCATGGGCAGTAAGCACGATTGCTGAAGCCGAGCGATTGTTGAAAGCATCATAGGTGGAAAGGCTGAAGGAGGACGTTTGGCGAAACTGCCCAACGCATTGACGTGGGGGGGGGGGTAAACTGTAGCCAAAAACCGTCTCACAGCCCTTTTATGACTATAGCAGCAACAGCCGCTTCAGGCAATCGTGCCACTTGCCTGCAAGGGCGGAATAAACACCCCACAAACAGTAACTGGAAGGAAGAGAAATTAAAGAGGAAGCTCAAGTAGGAGTTGAGTATTTCTTACCTCGGGTAATTGCGCCAATTTATTGAGTTGTTCAGGCGTCAAACCGTAGTTCTTCTGCAGGAATGCCACGTAGCCAAACACTTCACCCAGATGGACGACCTGAAAACAGTAGCGATGAGGACTGAGAATAAATGGGGAATAAAAATCTGAAGAGGTTCCCTCTGAATTTGGAAAGGAAAAGGGTCCTGTGGAAGGGGTTAGTGGCAGAATTGCACCATAACCCGGAGATAGGGGAAGCGTAGCTGTGTAGTTCCTCTAAACGTGACAATGGCTAAGCTTTTTGTGGGATGTAGCCGTCCTGGGACAGCTGTAATAAACGGACTTGTGGTGAGCTACCCACGACGGTAGGACGACGATTGTATTAATAAAAAGAAATTTCTCTTGAAATAAACACATCCTACGCCACGTTCATGTGAAGTACACAGCCACGCCCCTTTATCTCTAGGATATGGAGTGTAAGTGATGCGAGGTGGTTGTGGAGGACTTATTAGAACGGTCCAACGGAAGATGGGCTGGCTGCTGACACTGGAGTGAGCAATAAGGCTGGAATCCTTTCGACTGAAGGATTCAACAGCCTGGATCAACAGGGTATGAGAGTTTCAGAAGCGAGGGACAGGGGGGGTGCAAATGCGCACTGACTTTTCCAAGTGATTGAAGGTAGTGTGGTCGATGGCAGTGAGCGAAGTAAGGATTAGACTACTCAGTCGTTATGTCTGAATGAATTTTTTGGGATGGGTTTCTTAGAAATAACAAACTGAAGTTCAAGAAAGTAATTTAAAGAAAACAAAAGCTTAGAATTCAAACCTTTCCGCCAATCGTCATAAAAGATCTGCCCAGACTTCGGCCATAGAAGTGAATATCACGGATGTATTCGCTACCGACAAGGTCTATAAAAATGACAAATGGGTTTATTCCTTTTTGTTTCATGATTTCTCAATCATTAACGTAATATAAGAAATATTAATGACAACAAAAAAAGGGTTAAGCTTTTGCCGTTGATCAATCCCTTTGTGAGAGGCAACACCCGTTTTACTCCCGTTCAGGAGGTGTTGGCATTTGCATAGTTATAAGGCCTATAGAATTACTTGTTGTGGCCACTGAACATCAGGTCAGTGTTTTTATCCTCCTAGACGAATTTAATACCAATCAATCCTAGCTTTGGCTGGCACAAGCGTGACTCGGCGTTCGAACCCCAGACTGCGCGCGTGGTAACCGAGCCACTAGCTACTGCACCAACTCCGTCTCATCATGAAAAATACGGATAGAAGGAGATTTTACACCATCTTGAATATAGCCGACCCCAAAGCCGGACCCACATATTCCTGTTCCCTCCTTGCCTCACTCTCCACTCCGCGAAACGAAGATCATGATGCAGGCAAAACGGAACGAAACCAGGAATGCAGTTTTCTTCTCGCATTCGAGTTGTTCACCTTTTGAGTAATTGAAACAAGTGAGCATTGTGCTCACAATTTCTCAAAATCTGCTTCCCAATTTCCAAGACTTTGATTTACGCTCAATCTGAAGCTGTGGGCAGAGGTGGAGCACAGACAAGTCGCCCGCGACCATGCGCGCGGTCCGAAGGTCAAAAGCCGAATAGGATCCCGATCTGTCTGATTCACCTTTCTACTCTTCGGGGACGGTAGACAGATTCCAGATCCATCTGCAAAGATGCACAAAATACAGTTTCCCCACAATGGCTAGCCCCTACGCGCCGCTGTATAGATCAGATCGTGTTCAATAAGCTGCTACGATCCTAAATAGAAGTAAAATGCGTGGCGCATCCCAAAAATGGACCGGTAAACGACGGAGCTTGAGCTTTCTTCAATTAATGCAATCGGCATACCTGATATTATTATGTACTAGTCACTGTATGAACGAAAAATAAGAAAATGCACTAACCTATGCACATAGTGGTGATGATAAGGCCAAGAATAATATAAGCTAGGGTGGCTGGAAAAAAGTCGACATTTATCGGAACAATGTCGCCGAATCCTAAATTATGGTCGAATAAATTCATAATTCAGTGAAATGTGGCAATAAAATAAAAGTTATATAATATGAACTCTCTAGGCTTTGTTGCCCTGGTCGCAGTCAACCAGGGTCAGGATCCATGAAATGAGCCCTGCCTAGACCACTGAATGTTTTCTCTCTCATCACTAACCGATCACTATTGGTAGAAAAGACAGCCGGGGCTGGACCCTCCCCACCCCTCCTGACACCGCCCCTGCAGATATCAACTATACACTGAAGAGAGCATCAGAGAGACATACAATGGTTTTTTTTCAGAAATAAGAATCACTAAACTCACCAATGGTAGTGACGGTGACGAAGCAAAAGTAAAAGGCATCAAAAAACGACCACGACTCCCAGTATCGTATCAAATACGCACCACCAGCCACATACCCTGCAAAGAACTACTCAGCATACAGAAATAATGCTACCGTGAACTCCTCCTAGATAAGTCACAGTTCCGTGCTTTACTCAGTCCGCGCGGCGTCGCAACTGCCGCGCGATCGAAATCATACGAGACGCTGTAACTTGGAAAAAGTTGTTGTTTCCAAAAAATTTTATTACGAAGGTACACTTCCAGCAGATAGGAGCAACAAGCAAAGAGAAAAGGTTGAATAATCAAAGTACTGAGTGACTGAACAACAACAGTCCTGAGGAAATCAAAAATACAACAATGATTCATTGTAAAAAGGTCATTTAGGATAATAGTCAGAGCATAGGACACAAAGGCGTTAAGATCTATAAGATGAATCTGAATCAGATTAGGACCCTCTATTCCGGGCATGTTACGGTAATACAATGCGGGCGTCCGCGCGCGCGGCGAGTTAGCCGTATTCGCTAAGGAAATTGCCTCGGCTAAGCGATGAGCATGCGTACGCGACAGCGACATTTGCTGCGATTTTTTCATCAGGACAGTCCATCGCACCTCAACATGCGAGAATAAGTTCAGTCTTTGTATGCTGTCCAGAAATCATTGTGACATCGATCGAATGAAGGGAATCAGCTAATAAGCCAAATTTACTCGCGAGCAGAATCTGTGCAGGTTTCTCTGCATAATACATGCTATGTAAGTCACTCTAGTTCTGCAAATAAAACAAAATCCGACGGTCATGGTAATCCGAGTCTACTACCAGAGTGAGAAGCGTGGCTAAACATCGAAGTGAACAAAATCTATCTCGATAAGGCAATGAGTTGTATCGCGAGCGTGCGCTCCATTGCACGCACGCGATGTTTGCAGATTGCCGCGCATGCGACGTCGCGTGGTCCTAAAGACTCGTTTCCCCCTTATTTCTCTATTCGTCTGTTCTCTAGGGTTTCAAATGAACTCAGCAGAATATCAGACTCGATTTTCACATGACTATTATTTTTCTTCTCCTTCTACCGACAGCAACTCTATGTTGAAACCAACTGTGATTGATACCTTACTACTATCTTCAAGAGGCATGGAACTGTTACAATTTGGAACCCTCATTTTGTTCCCTCCCCTCCCCCCCCCCCCTCCCTCGCCTCACAAGGACCCTTCTTTTCCAGTTATTGGCCCCAAACTTCTGTTGTTCTATCTCTCGTAACTTCTTCGAATAGCCATTCTTCACTCTTTTTTTTTCTGTGATCCCATCTGTTGGAAATGTGCTCTCAAAATCAACTATTTTGGAAAAAGAAATTGGTTTCTATGGCGTCCCGTATGGAGCTCGCTTGTGAGCCTGTCGCGACGCCGCGCAAACCTACCCACCTTTTTTTTACATATCTGCGGCACTGCGGTAAACATAAAACAGCTGTTCACCGTGACACACCCACGCTTCCTTCCTACTCTTCAGAACAAGTATATCCCTTCTACATTCTACGGTTCACATAAAGCGAAAATGTTCAATATGGTTGGGGAAGATGCCAATACACACATTGATTGGTCCCTGGGGACAACATACGGATGTGATGGGGCTATTTGATTCCGAACACTGAATATGTTGCGTAAATGGGTGCTGTTCGGCTTCAGCAAGGGACTGGAACATTTTGCACTTTCGTTTGTTACTTGTGCTAGCCAATGCTAACCAACAATATAATGCAATGATCAATGAAATTTTGTTTGAAGCAAGCTTTTGTTGAGGTTGTCAAGATGGTTATGTAGGGGATGGGTGTCTAGGAACCGGAAATAGAAATGATTGTCTACGATGACGGGGTCTACATGAAGTCCGGTGCTCCAGTCGACAGGTTAACACGAGTTGAGAAAACGCCGCGTCCATCGCCGCGCGCGGTGGAGCGGCAAATCACGATTCTCTTGCCGTCTCCCACGGAGGGGCATGAGCAAGTCTCGCTTTGGTGAGACCCGCTAAGTCTCATGAAGCTGCGAAATGGTACAATTGTGCCGCTTTGGTAACAGGATTCAACAGGACTTCGCCTGGTGGCCTGTACAAGCTGTGTGAATCTACTCGGTGCCCCTCCACTGAACTATTCCCCAAAATCCGCGTGATAGCCAGGGAGAGGGGGGCGGTTTACGAGCTCCAGTGTGCAGTCGAACATGGAAAGAAGTGTGGTGAATATCTTGGCATACACGCATTGATCTCGCTTTATAGTTTGATTCATTTTGTTTATAATTCTTGTGATGCCCCTTTGACTGTAGCGCTCCTAGAGTGCCTTAAAGGCACAGTTCGCGACCGCAAATTGCGGGAAACGGAACTCAAATAGGCACAAAAAAGTGCTAAGTATCTGATTAGCGGAGAAAAGCAGCAGAAAAAGCAGTCCGAAATGTTATAGAGAAAGATAACATAGTGGCTACTAGCTAGTAGCTAGCAGCCGGTGAGGGTCGGCATGGGCCTAAGGGGTGTCCATGGGCCTAATTAGTCAGCTTCTAGCGGAGTTCTTGCCGTTTTTCACATTTTGAAAGTAGCGCAGCCTCAAAAATCGCCTTCCGGATCGTCCGACACATTTGAGAGGTCATAGCCTTATTTTTTCGCGGAATGTGCCTTTAACAAACAAGTGATAATAAATAAATAAATAAATAAATAAATAAATAAATAAATAAATAAATGAGTTAATTAATAACTAAATAAACAAATAAACAAGTGGATTATTTGTTTATTTAGTTATTTATTCACGTATTCATTTATTGCAAATTATTGTAAAAGTCGTGTAGCCTCAAAATTTATCTACAAATGGAAGTATTGTTGTTTTTGCTGTAAACTCTAGGGCCTGACAGAGGGCTGGGTTTGGCGGGTCGCCAGCCCATTTCCCACCAACTGTGGCCGCTTGACTGCTCAACAGTTGGTGGCAGATGAGCTGCCGCCGCGATAAACCCACCACCTCGCCCTGACAGCCCCAGCGTCTGCATCGAAGATGACAACAAAATGCGTGCCGCATCTGAAAAATGGGTTTTCCACAAGCGAGATCTCTGTCATTTACCTACTGCGAGGCTTCTGTTAAAGAGTTCCATGTCAAAGTAGCGTCAAATTGGGTAAGGAAGACTATGGACTTTTTAGGGCAACTTTCGCTCGAGGCGGGGGGAAGGAAGGGCATTCCGCTCTTTCGCTAGTTTCTTTCACTTGCACGTTCCACCTTGATAAATGCTGTGATCCTGTCAAATGGGATCGATGGTAAAACTATTGCATAGCTTCACAGCAATTCACCGGTCTCCACAGGAGTTATCAGCAGCTGTCAATGAGAACCAGCGAAATGCCCCCACTAAGCCAAACTGCGCCCCTTTTCAGTTACTTCTAAGCTTGCGACTCCTTTCGATTAAACTTTTAGAGCTTTCCCATGTTGCACAGCATGACCGCAAGTTTGAACTGAAGAATTTCCGAATTGTTACGTTCAGCTCTTAGTCGCTACTGATTAATTTCGTAAGTAGGTAAGAGTTGAGCTTTCTCTGAAGATCCTCAACATGCAAAATTTTAAGGTCGTTACTCATTTAAATGAGAAAAATGCATTGCTGTCTGAGTTTCCGCCTTGGACGACACGTTGTGGTCGGCTCATCAATCGGTTGGTGTTGCGCGATCTCCACTGGGACCAAAGCACACTAACTCTTCCTTTAACCCCGAAAAATTCCTCCAAACTGCTTGAGCGGCAGTTCGCATGGACAGGCGTTTTCCTATGGGGAAGCAGGTGGACCGTAGCATAACCATGAGCAGTGCATTGATGATTCTGAGTTTTATGATCAAATCGAAATCTCTTCGATGATGTTCTCAGGAAGATCACCTTCCGATGATGATCATGACAGTTCAAGGAGAAAATACTTGAAAAAAATCATTGCAAAAGTCATGAAAAGTTCACAATAACCCCTAAAACCTATATAGCGATATGGAGACTGCTATCCTTGTAGAAGTGGGGCCTTTAGAGTCATTTGATCATGTGCCTGTGTTTAAGATGATTATGATTTGATATCGGCTAATAGAATGAAAGGAGCCCATTTTCTATTTTGAATGAACTGATTACATTATTTCACTTTTTATTGTACCTCATTTTTTTTATTTCGGAGTTGCATTTCATTTTTTGAATTGCGGTTGCTTCAGGCTTTTTTTGAGAATTTTTGAACTCAACTGGTTGCCAGGGTGAAATAGTTACTCGTAAAGATCGAAAAACTTTCGCTGTTGAGCAACCCCTCATGGGATGCGGCATTTTACTCCCATTCAGAATCAAGGTTGAATGCGGGCTAAATACGGGCCTACGTGGCCTATACAATGATTTCGGGGCGAGCCAATGTACAAGTTACTTATCTTATCCTCCCAGACGGATCTGGCACCAGTTTATCATCACCGGAGGCTGGACGGCTTGGTTACCAATTAATTGAACCTTTCTACCCTAGATTATCAACGCTACGCGAGATTTAGTAAAACTCGCGAAAGCAACTCAAGAATTACTTTTGAGTGAGCAAGTCCTCCCACTACCGTGCGTATTGATGATATGACCTCAGAACAGGTCACAGATTCACGTTGGGAATCCTTAGACTGTCGCGGTGGAGTGGGAGGGGTCGCACTCGAATCTTCTGCGTGCTCTTGACTTTTCACGGCTTTTGCGACGGGTCGACGACAGTTTTTGGGCAGAATAATGAGAAGTTAACAAAAACTCTGAAAAAGAGGAGTTGGGAAAAATTGGTAGAATGGTAGTTAAGATTGGTTGTGGTGAAGAGGGTGGTACAGGTAAGATTTTTGAATGGGGATCGCATCTTGCGAAAACTTCCCAAACAGCAGACTGTGCCCTGTGCGGCCTAAAGAGATCAACGAGTTCAAAGTAGATAGTAGAATAGTAGATGTGGGGAAGCAATCCGGGTTCACTAGGCGTAACTCGTGTAGCTGACAAATTGCGTGAAGCACGTCTCCGATAGTACGTGACTTCGTGCGAATATAGACACCTTCTCACGCATCCCCTCCCTTATTACAGCTTCTCTCATCAAGCTGGAGTGCTCGGATTGCAATTTTATCGCGCGCGCTGTTGAATGGCTTCTGTACCCGTGTACTTTCCGAAGAGGTCGTGCCACAGTTTAGAAGATTCCAGATGAAAGGTAGGCGCACTTCGGTTTGATGGGGCACCTAACAGCGAAGCTGGTTCAGGCCGTCTTGTGGGGATCTACAATGTTTTGCAACCAAAGTAGCTCAACGGAACCATTTCTCAGTTTTACTAGGGTCTAATGGTCTCACAGGAGTCAGACCTGTTAGTTCGTGAATTAGCAAAACGAAGTAGCAGAAGTGCAAAATGTCCCTCCAAGCCGAACACCGGCACTTTGTATCCATATCACCAGCTTTCCTCATACAGGATTCATCTGCTTCCGAATTTCCATAGAAATAGTAACAACGAAAACATCAAAACGGCACTATTTACCCTTTACTGCCCCAGCCATCCGAAATCAGGCCAGTTCCTGACCGACTTTTTTCTCCGTGGGCAGAATTTGCTGAAAACTTGGCTCCAGGGGTAGTTCGACCCGCTGAACACGAATATCGCATCCGCTTGACCCGAAACCTCCTGGCGCCGGCGCCAAAATACTCGAAATCACCAAATTCGCTGAAAACTTGCTCCCAGGGGTAGTTTGACCCCCTGAACACGAATATCACATCCGCTCAACCCGAAACCTCCTGGCGCCCGCACCACGGGCACCGGCGCCAAAATACCCCAAATCATTGGCGCCTGTGGCGCGGGCGCCAGGAAGTTTCGGGCTGAGCGAATGTGATATTCGTATTCTGGAGGTCAAACTACCCCAGGAGACAACATTTGAGCAAAATCTGCCCACGGAGAAAAAAGTCGGTCAGGAACTGGCCTGATTTCGGATGACTGGGGCAGTAAAGGGTAAATAGTGCCATCAAAATTACTTCCCATTGTTTGTTTTTTTTCGAATTTTTCTAGCTGTCACTCTAATGCGACACATTTCGACAAGCTGATGACGCAAATATAATTTGTTGGCCCCTCATTTTGATGCTATAAACTATGCGCCGCAATCTGACTCAACGGGGTTACTGCAGTCATTCCCCTCGAGTAATACACGCATCAAACATTCGACAGATATCATGATGAAAGTCGATTCCGCTGCCCACCAAGCTTCCGCCCACTTACGCAACTTCCTACTTTCACAAATCAGTAAAGATCTTTTCGGAATAAGAATTTGGAGAAAAAAAAACAGAGAAAGGTGTTGGTGTTAAGAGAATGGAGATCACTGAAGGAGCTATGAAAAAAGAAAAATTAAGATTAGGTTGGATAGTAACTGTTTTTTATGGTTAGGATCGGTGACGAAAAAAAAACGGTCATTATTATCTGTTAAACTTTTTAACTTGGCTTATTAATTCTATTGATTCGTTAATTATCTAAATTTGCGCGAATGCACCTTGAGAATAGAGGGCACACTACGAGACAGGGTACCCCGCACGCTGATGATCTTGAGCGAGGGGTTCATATTTGGTCGCTGGAGGGAGGAAGGGGATCGTATGAGCTCTTAAGAAAAATGTTTCCGGCTAATGGTTTCTCTCAATTTTTTCCAACACTATCATCTTCCCCTTCCCTGCCACACTTCTATCCGGACGTAAATTTCAGGAAAAAAGGTAGGAAAATCTCGGAAGAATCGTGCGGTGAGCGGGCAGCTTCAGCATTTTGGCAAGATGCGTAGCAAGGATGGGGACGCAGTAGTCCGAGCAGGGAACTTTCGCTGGTCAGGTGAAAATTTTCGGGAAAATTCAGCCCATCGGCGAACGTATTCCTACTTAAAGGGGGGTAGTTTCATAAAGGCGGCGTTGAAAAAGTGGCTTCTGCTGCTGTTGACATCCCGCTTGGCGAAAGGAAAGCATTGGCCAAAGTAGGAGACTGCTTCTAGGAAAGCCCACTTTTTTGCAGTTCTGCAGTTTTTTGTGAAGGGAAGAGCGAAAAATCCTGCCTGCGTGGCAAGGCTCTCTGCCAAGACATCCAGCCCCTGTAATTAATGTCTGCGCAGCGCGCCATCATTTGATGCGAGGAGGATTTATCAACTCGGTTATGGTTTCCTTAGCTTGCCAAAGAACTTTCGAAACAGCTCTCATATCGAGGATTTCCGGTGTGTCGAGTTTCTTCGAGATACTCATAGAGTTTTAAGAGAATCTTGGTGACCTGATACAATCCCTTTTCTGGGATGCGGCAGACATTTTCCTTGAGCTCAAAATCGTAGTGGTTTATTTAATGCGATGTGGCGGATACAATGACTTGCAGGACCAGTCGATATAAGTCTGTGTTTTTATCTCTTGCAGACCGAACCGAATATCAGATTCACGCGTCCAAGATGGTAAAAGGTTGGCTTGGGCGGAAGCCGATCCGAAATTTACCCCCGCCGCGTTGTGGTAAGCTCACTTCTTGCCACTACATCACCTCCGCTTTTCGAGTTATACGTTTAGAAATTTGTTTGGCTCAATAGCGTTAGTTAGTATACGGCGGCACAGAGAATCAGATGGGTAAAACTATGATAAAGGGTCGTAGAAACCCTATTCCTAGAAGGTGCATTCAACGCCCCTAGTAGGACATAGCGCGTGCGCGGTAATGATTACCGGACTACCTGACCCCTCGGGAGGCTTGCACGACTTCTTGAAATTTTTGTGGGAGAGGCTCGATGAGAGATGTGAGAGAATGTACAGTAAGCAGAACAGGAAAGACGCTTTGGCGGCTAAGTCACTCGCGCTCAGATGGAAGTTACTTGAACCACCTTTCGCGCCTAAACATCCCTACCTAACAAATCTCTGACGGCAAGGCACTCCCTCGGTCCCACTTTTTCCCATACGGGACTTTAATTGGATGAGTAATCGCAGAATCTGCCTTCAAGCACTGCCGCTTTGTGTGAAGAAAAGCTGTCAGCAGCGATATTGGTTTGATAACTGCTGTTTTACGCCGCAGTGCGCGATACGAAAGTTATCACAAGAATGCTGAGTTGGGGGCAAAAGTCGGACCACGGGCGGGACTCGAAACCCGCTGTCAGCAGCGATTATTTTGTTGCGCTATATGAAGAAGCATAGCCATTCATTGAGGAAAAACTCCATTGTCAGAAGTATAAAGAAGGGTCAGACGACACAGAAACTTGTATATGAATGCTGGCCATAGGGGGGAAAGAAATCAACTCTTCTTTACTTAATCAAAACGTGGAAAAACACTGCGGGAAAAAGCGCTCAAATTGTAGAAACCGGGGAAGGAAGTAACACTGTAGAATACACAGTGGGAGAGACAACATAGAACACGATGGGTTGATAGCGTTCGTTGGATAAACCGGGCACGAATTTTCGCGAAACGCAATTCTCCCTTCCTCTCCTGCCCAATGTTTCTTTCTTCGAGACCACCTCTTTCGCAATTTGCTGCCATCTTTCTCCAATTCTACCAACTTCCTACCTCTTCTCCGACAGTTGTTCAACGATGTTTTCAGAAAAGAGGGAAAACGAAAAAATATCAAACAGAAAATCTGTTTCAAAACGCGAACATCCCTTTCACCTTACTGCAATGACCAAACACGAGAACTACCTTGCATTACAGCATACCTTCGCCTCGCTGAATACTCAAAAGCTAACGGTGTGCCTGAATTAATGCACAAACCTCGAGCCGCCACTGGGGATTGGGGACCGTGAGAGTGAAACAGCAGAAGTTGGGAATAAAGAGCTGAGCGACAGATGAAGGAGACAAATGCAACGGAATCGACCATAAAAGAAGCGGTATCAGAGGCGAGAAGTGATCAGAAGGAAGAGATCTTGAAATACTGGAGTCAAAAGTGAGAAAATGATGGTATAACTTGGTTAGTATAAGCTGAAGAATGAACATTGACTTCTAGTGGCAGACTGCCGCTCACACCGACTAAGCAGTCTACCCCCCAGAGACGGTAAATCTGTACTTTTTGCAGAGAGAAAAAAACCATTGAACCGTACATTGGCTGGTCCCCATAGATCATTGTATAGACCACGCCGCATTCAATAAGCCACTACGATTCTGAATGGAAGCAGCATGCCAAAAAAATCGATCAGCTGAGAAAACTTTACTTTATCCTGCAAGGTTGAGGTGACGGACGCAGTGGAAGCATGTAAGGAAAACCGAAGAAAACAGCCCACGAAAGGACAAAGAAGGTGACGTAGTCAGCAATGGATCACATTGACGAAGTGCCAGTTTAGATGGGAAATGCACCGCGGAGGAAAGAGAAAAAAATTGGCAGTCTATCATGGCAATAATAAGCTCAGTAAGCACTACGAGAAAACAAGCAGTAGTCGCGGAAAATGCAATTAACAACATGCCCAATTAAGCCAAGCAGTGGAAGCGTACTGTAGATCTATTATAACTGCGAAAATGTAAAAGCGCTAAAAATAGAAAAGCAATAATTAACCGTTAAAATTGCATGTTCAGAACTCACGAGCATGGATGACGAGAATGAACATCACAGAAACTCGTCGTTCGTGATGCGGAATCTCTGGCTCCAGCTCGTCGGCCTGCGCTCGAGTGTCTTCAGACGGCGGACCACCGAGTTCCGAATTCTGCGTGTGGATTTCGGAGATGTCTGAATAGTCTGAGCTAGTCTATTTTCAGAGCTACAAGGCCCTTGAATGCCACGAGAGCACATTTAACTTTGGAGGGAGGTCTTTAATACGATGTCAACTGCATTCCTTCCGAAATATTGGGCCCAATGCTGCGTAAAATGAAAAGATGAAAGGTTATAGCTGGCTAGAGCTGGAGCAAATGCGATAGCAACGCTAGCGCATCACCGCGCATCATCGCAAAGTCTAAACGCAGTCCAACTTCAAATCTGAGGATCTCTTTATTATGGCCCTCTGAAAAGTTTTCGGACTGCTTAACGCTCACAAACAGCCTCGGCCAATGTGGAGGTTTAGGGTGCCATTCCAGACATTTTTCCCAAATTAACATTATTGAAGATTTTTCCGGTGTCTCACCTTCGAAAGTTCCTGCATCCGACTGATTGTCATGAGTCTTCCGCGGCCGCCGAACCGACCCGTACAGATGTCGCTGTTTTTGGAAGCAGTTCGATCGTTGGCATCTTAAAGCGAAACAGGTAAAGGATAGTAACTATTGTCAGAGTGTTGGTTCGAATACCACTACATATGTGAGAAAGTCAACGATGAAAATAGAATCAAAATCTATTATATATACAGCCGCGAAAAAAAAACTTGGAACAAGCCCTGGAAGGGCATTTTCATCCGTCCCAAACTAGTTATTTTCTTCTTAAACACCAATATCAGGTGCAGTAGCTAAGAATTAGTGTATTTTACGGTAATAGTAATATTTTGATAAAGCGGAGGTAGTTAGTGGCAAGTGGCGCCACTTACCACTTACGGAGTCTGAGGATCAGACCCCGGATCGGCTCCCGGAAGCCAGCAAAGCTTCCGATGTCTGCGGCGATGGCTAGTTGGCCCTAAACTCGTCTGGCAGAATAAAACAGAATTCTTCTCTAACTGCTCCCCTCCCTTCCCCCCCCCACACCGCAAATCATCGACTATACCAACTCACATTTGAAAGTCACGGACTCGAAAAAGAAAGAAGTGGACTGTGTGCAGCATCCCAAAAGATGACCCCCCCCCCGAGCTCTTTGAAACAGTAATGCTTCCCGCCGCCCGGCCAGTGCTGAGAAGTTCTTCTGCGTACGCGGCGACATGATCGACTGACATGTGTCTACCCCCACTAGGCCAGTCAAAAAGAGGATCAGGCCTGCTGGTGTTTGCTCAGTCAATCCTTTACTTCTTTTCTACAACTCTCTGGAATCCGATGTTGTTTTCAGAGCATCAGAATGTTTGGGTATCATCCAACATTAAAGCGGTAGCAGGGTGCCTTACGGAAATCTTCTTCAATATTCTGCCCCGACAAGAGCTCAACAATCAAGTATATTTCCTGAAATAGCCTTTCTAGGCGTATTCAATTTGAGCGAACAGATATTCATATCAATTTAGAAATTGAAGATAAAACTATCGAAAAGCTCGCACATGGGCTTGTTCAGAGATTTTTTTAACGCGGCTGTACATGCAGTCTTGCTCGCGGCTGATGTCGGGGATGCCAGGGGGAGGGCTGATTTTAGCGCGGCGCCAGCCTGTTTTCCACCAACTGTCGCCGCTTACTCACTCCAACAGTTTGTGAAAAATGGGCTGATGCCGCACCGAACCCTTCCCCCCGTAGCACACCACAGCATCCGCAGCGAACGAAACTGCAAGGACTTCATGCCGGGCAATTGAGCGCAAGTACGGTAGCTTAACAGTGATCGTGAGGAAATACCTGTATTCGTGGATGCTTCTTTCGTATTTTACAACACACACATTTTATGCATTTCCAACACTGAGCGTAGCACGAGTCCATAAATTTCCGATATGTGTTATGTACCCAAATAATACCTCCTGAAATCGATATCTAGCAATTGAGGCTCTAGCGATCGATGGGATAGTCCTGGTTCATGCCGATTCCGTACCAACACCTTCTGTACGATACTAAACAATAGTAGTGAACGTTGAGCGTTCATACTTGACTAGGCGACTGAGCCGCGCGACAGTGGCCGACTGTGCTCCACTGCTTATCGTTGAACTGCTACAACGCCGAAAATAAGCAGTTGATTGAATAAGCAGTTTCATTTAAAAAAGATTGGCGGTGCAGCGCGGTCAGTCTCCCTAAGTCGCGCGACTGAATGGATCAAGTCGCGAAGTATGAAGGCGACCTGATATAGAAGGGCTGCTACACCCTCCCGCGAACGTCTATATCACTCAAGACAAACCTGACAAAAATCGCCCCATATCGGCAATAGTGACGAGAATAAGAGGTATGCCGAATAAGGCGTAAAAAATAATCGCTATCCGTCCAGCGGGAGTTCTTGGAACGATATGACCGTACCCTGAAATAGCCGAAGATGATAATGGAGGACAGCTAACTGCATGCTTAAATCTGTATTATTTCGGTGTCTTTGAATCAAAATCTCTCTCAGAAGTGAGATTGAGAAGTCTTGACTTCAAAGGATCATATACGCGAGATTTTGCGTACGGTTCTGATAGCGCTGCTCGGCTTCGACGGAGGGGGCAGAAAACATTTTGCCCTCTCGCTAGTCCCTTCTCATGTTAACTAACTCGTTTCTTTTGGATGAAACCTGTAAATTCTTGTGAAGCTGCGAACTCGTGAAAGTGAGCCATTTCAGCCGCAGGGGTTAAAAAATTTTCGCAAAAACGCCGATTAGCTAAGTGCTATTCGATGTACTACCAAAACAAATTGTGGCGTACCGGAACCCGTTTTGATGGGTGTATCAGAACCAGGAGCTCAGCAGTAATGAGAAGGATATCCTCGATACGCCCCTCTTGATATACATATATTTTCAGTAAGAAACCGGCAATGAATTGCGAATAGTATTTCTCGTCCAATTGTCCTTCCCCTGTCATTCGCTATTGAGGCTAGTAGTAATGAAAAATCAGCTGAAAACGGTGATTTGTTAAGACGTTTGTCAGATTAGAAAGGAAAGAATTACGGTCCACGATTATCGTTTTGCTATTCTCATATAGCGCTATTAATAGCATAAAGTAAGGAAGCATATCAGGTGGAGGAAAAAGTTCCAAAGCCTCATTAAAAGTGTCCAACTTCTCTCTTCGTAGAACCTCGGCATTGTTGTAAATATGATGTTTTATTACTTTTGCGTCAACGAGGTTTTCAGGTGGAACTTTATTCACGGCCTAACGTTTCGACTAACTCACATCTAGTGGAGCGGCGTTGCTCCGCTCATGCCGCGGTGGACTTGGCCTCTGAGGACGACGATCTGGTCGAAACGTTAGGCCGTGAATAAAGTTCCACCTAAAAACCTCGTTGACGCAGAAGTAATAAAACACCTCATTAAAAGGTTTTCGAGAAGAAAAAGAAAGGTTTTGTCCACTCAGCGGACCTAATGGTCTCTGAATAATGCCTATCTGAGTTCCTTGGGATCGTCTAAATAGGGAAACATTCACTAATCGATCTAGTTGCTTACATCGATCATCGAACATTTCTTTATTTTTTTCCTTAAGTACGGCAACTGCGCTGGAAAAAAATCGTTTCTAACGCAATTTTCGCAATATTTGCATGTGCAAAATACTCTGAAAATTTGGACAGGGATCCGAAAATCGGTTATTGAATTCTTGCTGTATATAAA